TGTGAGTGTGTGTGTGTGTGTGTGTGAGAGTGTGTGTGTGTCTCTGAGAGTGTGTGTGTGTCTCTGAGAGTGTGTGTGTGTGTCTGTGTGAGTGTGTGTGTGTGTCTCTGTGAGTGTGTGAGTGTGTCTCCGTGTGTGTGTGTCTCTGTGAGTGTGAGTGTGTGTACCTTGCTGTAGGGGTTCTCCATCCAGGCGGGGTGTGTGCTGCTGGCCGTGTCCTCGTCGCTCTGGTAATAGTACAGGTTGAAGGTCTCTTTGCAGGTGCGGAAGCTGGAAGGCATGGCCGAACACTCCATCACGGTGAAGCGGATCTCCACATACACCTGAGTCGCCCCGCGCCGCGGGATGAAGCGCGTGCGCAGCCAGTGACTCACTGACGTGTCCATCGGACAGATCTGAAAGGTGCGGACGCTGTTGCCCTCCTCATCCAAACCGCTCATCTCCTCCCACTGACAGAAAGATCAGTGTCATCCATCAGCATTAAAACACCGTCAGAGCTTACAGCAGGATATTAATTCCTGTGCTAATCAACATCACGTGAAATACAGAACTTAACGACAGACTGGCTCTATTTATGATCTGCCTCACTGCACATTATCATAAAGATCACCGTCTTCCACCAGAATATAATCACTTGATGTCATCAATATGTAAACAGTGACTGTGTTCAGTTTCAGCTCTGCTGTATAATCCAGTTTCAGCCCTTTTCTGAATACAGTGTTCATATGTGTGCAGGTATGGGAATATTCCTGTATTTGTGGTTGTTGTGTGTTTTATTTCCTGCTGTTATTTCCCAAGAGATTCCAGATGTTGCCGCTGGTTTTGTGCTCACTAATTAGTTTAAATACTACTTTACACAGTAATTTAATTAGGATAATTAACTTGAACACTTTCCACCCTCAAAAAGCCCAACAACACCAAACGGAAAGCGCCAGACAATCATTATAATAAAAACACTGGTTAATGTTAATTTCTTTTAATAATTCTATAAAATAATGAGTCTGGTTGTCTCTTCAGAAATGCATCCATTTGAGTTTATGATCCTAAACACCTAACCTACAGCTCAGTATCTGTTAGCACCCATAATTCAGTCTGGACATACACATATGCAACTAATTTCCCATTAAAACAGGCTTATTCCAAGAGTGGGAATCTGAATATTGTTTTAAGGTAATTGAATTGTGGCGTTTGCATGGAAGCCCGTTTCTGCCACAGAATAAAAATATAAAATATAATTGCGACTTTTAATCTCACAAATCTGACTTTTTTTGTCAGAATTCTGTTTTATTTTTGCTACTGAATAAAAAATAGTTTTATATCTCACTAATTCTAAGTTTTATATCTCACTAATTCTAAGTTTTTATCTCACTAATTCTAAGTTTCAAATCTCACTAATTCTAAGTTTCATATCTCACTAATTCTAAGTTTTTATCTCACTAATTCTAAATGTTTATGTCACTAAATCTGAGTTTATATCTCACTAATTCTAAGTTTATATCTCACTAATTCTAAGTTTATATCTCACTAAATCTGAATTTATATCTCACTAATTCTAAGTTTATATCTCACTAAATCTGAGTTTATATCTCACTAAATCTGAATTTATATCTCACTAATTCTAAGTTTATATTTCAATAATTCTAAGTTTTCTCTCAGGAATTCTAAATTTTATATCTCACTATTCTGTTTTATATCTCACTCTTTCTGAGTTTATATTTCACTAATTCTATGTTTTATTTCTCACTAATTCTATGTTTATCTTTCTTCAATTCTATGTTTGTTTCGCAATTCTGTTTATATCTCACAACTATGAGTTTATATCTTGCAATTTCAAGTTTCTATTTCACAATTCTAAGTTTTTCTGCAATTCTGTAGCGGATTACCTTTTTCATATTTTTATTCTGTGGGGAATCAAGCTAATCAAACTATTACAAAACACTGATGTGCATGTAAATGCAGTTACCGGTGTTTCATGTTGACGTTAACCTGGAATGTTCCTTTGACGGTCACATGAGTTCGTGTGTGTGTGTGTGTGAGAGTGTGTGTGAGAGTGTGTGTGTGTGTGTGTGAGAGTGTGTGAGTGTGTGTGTGAG